TATTTTTTAAAAAAATTTAAATTATAATTTTTTTAAAATAATTTTTCTATCTGGAGTAATTTTAGTCACGTATTAAGAATTTTGTCATGATTATTAGCCAAATTTTTATTTTTAAATTTTAAAAAATAAATTTCACTCCTAAAAATGTGATTCATAATTTTTTTATTTTTAAAATAAGTTTTGCCACAAAAAATATGAAAAATTTATAAAATTTGTATACCTGTCAAACTATTATAAATTTTATAATTATAAAAATATTTATTTAAAAACAAAAAAAAATAAATTCGCCAGATGAATAGCGAAACTATTTGTAAAAGAAATTCCCCATTGCAGAGCGCTTTTACCAAAGGCACCAAAGAAAAAAATATTCACTGGACATTTTATTGGACACATGCAAGGTGATTAGCTAATCATCGGATAATCTAGCAAGAACTTCGCAAGAGACTACCAGATGAAACTTCTAGCTTAAGGGGTCCAAGGGAGTAGCAAATGGAGCTTCAACAAATGGAATCAATACAGTGACAAATCCGATGAATGAGATAACTTTCTTTCATCTTCCAATCTCTACTTTCTTTCACTTGGAAGGCAGATCAAGGTTTTTAAAAAAAATTATGAATTTTGTATTTTTCGTAGTGAAATTTATTTTTTAAAATTTTAGAATAAAAATTTTGCCAATAATCATGACAAAATTCATGATACTTGACTAAAATTACTCAGATAGAGAAATATTTTTTTAAAAAAATTTTAATTTAAATTTTTTTTTAAAAAATATTATTTTAATAAAAAAGCTCAAAAATTGATAAATTAAAATAATCTTAAGTTATTTTTTAAGCAATATGTTAAATCTAAATATTAATATATCATCACAATTTTTTATAAATAATAATAAATATTTATTTTAACAATAATATAAACATTATTTTAAATATTTTTTTATGTATTGCAAAAGTTATGCTATATAATTATAAAACAACAATGAACATTTTTTTATGTAACAGTTATACTATAGTGTTTTTTATTGCATGATTACATCAAAAACAAAATTTTTATGTAAATAAAAATAAGCATCTATACTTTAAAATTATTATAATATGAGATTTCTGTTAATTGTAATAAAAGTAGTTGTTTTGGTTGTTAACATAATTTTTTCATACATTACAATAAATTTTTTGTATGAATAATATTAAAAATGTTGAGGTGGTATTTTTAGATGCATGTAAACATGTTACATCAACGACCATTTTGAGTTAGGATGTTAATTCATTAATAAATAATAAAAATAATCATTTTTAAAAACTATGAGAAAAAATAATTTAAGAAATATTTGAAAGACTAAAATTAAGTTTAATTATATTTATAAAAACGACAAATATAACTTTATCAATTTGATTATTCTTAATAAAAGTAAGTAAAACTTCTATAGATAGTAAAATTATTTTTTTGAATTTTTTTTGGAGTTGCATTATCAATGACAAAAACTTAAAATCTTGTTCAAGTCAAAGATAATTGTTAACCTCAATTTATAAAGTTAGGTTTAAGTATCGAAAAGTAGTAACTTTTTTTTTTATTAAAATAACTTAAAATTATAAAAATATAATAAATATTTTTGTATTTTAATATAATCTTATTATTATTAACTTTTTAAACTCAACTTAAGTTTAATATTTTATTAAGTGATAACATCCCACTGCTAGAATCTATGCGCTAGTGATTATATATGAACACTTTTTCTACATTTTTTTTAGTGATAATGGTTATTATTTTATATATTTTGAGATTGAAGTTACATGTGTATTAACAGTCTAATACAAGTTGATTGAATTGGGTTTAAAACAAATAATATTGAAAAATAATTATGTTTAAGTAATTAATTTTAATATATTTATAAATATTTTATAAATTATTTTTATATAGTATATTGTAAAATTATGCGTTGTCATATATTAATGTTGTCGTTTTATTTTAAAAAATATATACAATTGACATAATTGTGTATAAACAAGTCCATTAATAAGATGTTAACTCAAAATAAGATAAAAAAAAATTATTTTTACAGATATTAAACTAGTACTTCATTAAAGAGTTATTAAATTTTTACTTGCTTAAATAGTAAGAAAATATTATATAATCTTAAATATAAATATTTTTTTCAATACATATATAAATGAGTTTTTTTTTCCTCATTACTAATAAAAATTAAAAAACTAAACTTAAGTTTGTCTCAAATGATACTAAACATTATAAATACTAGTATGTTTATTTGTTAAAGGCAATTTAAAAATCACACATTTTTTTTAGAAATATAACGTGGTATTAGACATATTTAAAGAATTTAATTCCTAGCTTCCTATAATTTTGTTAATCAACCTTTATCAAATGCTATGTACCTTAGAATGAGAAATATGTAAAGAGTTGTGATAAAAATAAAAATATGATTATTAGGTATTGATTTGAGTTATTTTTAGTAATTTGGTAGGAGATGTTTCAGGAGCAATTTGTGTAAATCTTGTTGTATATATTGATACTGTATTATTAATTACAAAACAAAAAAAAAAAACAGAAAGAGTTATCTTGAAATTCATAGTAGTATTACAGTTAAGTCAATGCAGGCAATTAACTCAGACGAGTATATGAGTCATATTAGAGAGAGTTGACAGTGTAGTACCCATGATCAATGTGAGAGTATACCGTAGAGAAAACAATGATACTAGATAAGCTCAAGCAGAGAGTTAGTACAAAGAGCAATGTGACACCCATGATCAATATGATAGTGCCGTAAAGGAAACAATAATATTAGATGAGCCCTAGCAGAGAGCTGAAGGTAACACACATGGTGTAGATCATAAATACTTGTGATGGAGAAAACTTTATCTCATGTGAAGGGAGCTAATATGAATAGATAAGTTTATACTTGAGGGAGAGTGTTGGAGTCAAGTGTGAATTAGTCTCATATAAAATGAGATATAAGCAAGTTAGAAATCTATAAGAGGATAGACCTATATATCCATTGCTTTAAGATTTTGAGGTTACATTGTGGTGTCTTAGCCCTTACAAAGATCCTTACTTAAAAACTCCTTCTACCTAAAAATTCATTAAGTTGTTATTAAAACTTCAACCAAACAAACTATATTTTATTTCTTTATATTTTGCTAATCAAACATTTTTAGTTTTTTTTAAGTAGTGGAATGACAAAGAAAACCTATCAATGTTAATGGATTTCTTTATATTGTCATTCTACAAGCAAACCTTTAGATATTGGTCTCTCTTCTGTGGTAACAATGAGCACTTATAAAAATATTTCAATGCTCAAACTAAGCATAGTATTCAATATATAATGCATGCTCAATATGATTATAAGAGTTTTAGTATAATACTATATTGTCACCAGTCACTTGAGATATGTTAACCATGGTGGAGCTTTGATTGGAAGACTCTTTAATGATTAATTGTACAATGTTTTAGAATTTAACATGATTAGTGTGAGTTAAGACAATTTTTTAAATTTGGGTTGATTCAACTCGTCTTCTTTTATTAATAATCAAACCTTAAACTGACTAGTATTTAGAACACTTTACTAACGATTCTTGAGAATAATGTTAAATTGAGTAATACAAGCAAAATGTTAAAGTGATATAAATGATAATGTTAAATTGAGCAAGTAGTCATAGAATAAGAATTGGTTGTATATATGATAAAAATAAAATTATAAATATACTTATAAAGAAAAAAATAGAAGAAAATTGTTTAAGGCAGTTTGGTCGCATATATAAAATACCATTAAATGCATTACTGAAAATGTGGATGTTTTAAATCTTAATCTAATAAAGAAGGTATAAAAGAAAACTTAAAAAAACTTGAGAGTAAATTCATGAAAAAATCTATTAAAAAATAATATTTTTGAAGATTTAATTTTAAATTCAATTTGGTTGCGTAATCTATGTACTTAATCTCTCTTAATTGTTGTAAATTATTTAATCATTACTTAATCTTTTTGAATTCACGTTAAGGTCCTTTTTTTTTCAAATGTTAGATACCATAAGGTATCTCTGAGCTTAAATGTTTTGAAATTAATCCCTACTCATAGTTTATTGTTATTACTGGTCAGAGAGAATTTTATAGGCGATGGAATAAAATACAGGACCTCTTCAATAAATCAACCATGCACATCTTAATCATATTCAACTACTCAATTCAATTCTATCAAAATTTATTTTATTCAATTTTATTACATTAAAATATTTGCAAATCACCAAAATCTTCTTTGAATAAAAAAAATATTAATAACATATTATTTAACAAATTATTTCTAACACTCTTTATTATTATTTAAAATTTATTAAAAATTATAAAAATCACGCAAACTTTACTTTTTTCTCACTCTTAATTTATTATTTTTTCTTAATTTTGTAATTTTCAATATATTTTAGTCAATAACAATAATTATATTAAAAATAGTATGTTGGAAAGCGTACGGATAACAATCCTCGTAAATGAAACTGATCTGTATGATTTTCATAAACTTAATTTTTTTTAATACGTACATGTATTGTATTATATTTAATATTTTCATCCTAAAAACAATCTTTATTAATTGAATAAACATATATTTTAACCGTCGTAAAAAATCTAATGTCCGTACAATTATAAGAATGCTTATTAATAATATTACTACACGAAGGAGTCGCAAAATTTTTGCAAGAATAGAATGTCTTGTAAATGTATAAAAAAATTTAAAGATACAAAATCATATCCACATATGATTAAGGGAAAAAATTGTAATTAAATATATTTTTTGAGAATATTTTAGCGTTGATAACGGTGACGGTAATAATAATTCTTAGAATAGCATTAACCGAAATATAAAAATCTAGAAATTTTGTTTGGGTTATTTTTGAATGGATAAGTGGGGTGGGCCTGGCCTAACAGAAGAGGAGCGTGTGGGTCCAATGGTGGATGGGCCTGGCCTAACAGAGAAGGAGGGTGTGGATCCCATAGTGGAGGCCCTAGGCCTGGTCGGCGCATGGCATTGATTTTCTCTCTCCTTCTATTTCCTCCTTCCTCATCTGAGCGAGCGACGCCTAGTTACAGCACTCCCACCCCTCAATCCTACCCTTTTATTTTTCTTTTATTTTTTGTTTTAAAATTTCAATTCCCCCTTTTTTATTTATAAAAAAAAGGAGAAGTAATTTTAGAGGGGGAGCGATCCCCCAAACACGAAAAATTGAAATCTAAATCTACAACAACAAAACACAAAATGGCATTTCACGTAGCTTGTCCAATTACATGGTAATGCTATGCTATCTTTCTCTACCGCTCCCTCTCTTTATTTCCCCTCTTCTTCTTCTCAATTACAATATCATTACCACTCTCTCTTTATATATCGCTTCACTCTCTTCCTTTCTTTCCTTTCTGTTTTGTTGTTCGCAGTCGCCGAATCTGCTTCTGCGCGTTAGGGTTTCCTCGCGCTCTCCATGCTCCCGACCCTACCAATGCCTTCCTCCACCAAGTTGCCGCTGTTCGCGACTTCCTCGCCGACACTCGCAGCGACGACGCAACCATTCAGGTTCCCGTTCCCAAGGTCCTGCCGCCGCCCCCGCCGCCGCCCGATGGTGCTCCTCTTGGTGTTGACGCGCTCGATGAGTCCGCCTCCATGAAGGCTAGGCGCGTTGCGCTCCAGCGCAAGGGCGCCGCCGCCAGGATTGCCGCTGAGGAGTACGCTCGCCGATTTGAATCCGGCGATGTGGTGGTGAGGCTTGTTTTCTCGTTTGAGTTTTGGCTCCAGTTTTTGGCGTTTTGTGTGCGATGGAATTGTTATTCGATTGGTTCGTGTGTTTTCGCCTCGCGTTCCTCGCTAGTTCCATGTTGTATCATCTTAATGTTTAGTTTAGTTCACTGCTGCGGGAAGTATGTTAAGTGATTGATGCGGTAAAATTTAGATGTTGATTGCGTGGTATGAGAGATGTGCTGGAGTAACTGTAGAGATTGTTATTGGCTTGGCATGGAAATAATATTGAGCTTTGATTATTGTTGTTGTTTTGTGTATGTAGTGCTAGGTGTTGATGGACATGAAAGTAATTTGGGTTGCGTGGACTTATTTTTTTAATGATGTGTCTTTTTAAATACATGTGATGGTGCTGGCTTGTGTAAACAGGATACGCCAGGAAATCTTGCTGGAGAGGAACAAGGTCAATCCAATGTCAAAGTCTTTTGTCGAATGTGCAATCGTGGTGAAAATGAAGGATCTGAGAAAGCTAAGAAGATGCTATCTTGTAAAAGTTGTGGTAAGAAATACCATAGGAACTGCTTGAGAAGTTGGGCTCAACATAGAGGTAAGAAGGTATATTTGCTTATAGATGCTAGTGTGGTGTACGAGCTATATATTCTCACTTTATGGGTCTTTTTTGCAGATTTATTTCATTGGAGTTCGTGGACCTGTCGTGCTTGCCGAATTTGTGAGGTAATGAGGATGTGTGATGCCAATGGGGTTGTACTTTTTCATGTATTGTTTGTGGAATTGTGAAAGGCTCTTTTCTGTCTAAATCCTTGCATGGATTCACAATTGGTCAATTGTCACATTCTCAATCTAGCTCTTCTATCTATTTTGCCAAAGTATCTTCATATTCCCTTCACTAGAGTGAAATGTGTGTTTTAAATACTGGGAATGTTTCATTCTATTTGCTTGATTACGTGGTTTACAAGTCCCTTGGTTCTGAAAATGTTACTTGATTTGAAACAAAATATTTGTTATTATTATTAATATTTTTGGTTGGTATCAGATGGGTTGCATGTTTAGTTGGATGAAGTATGACATTCATTTTACTGGTACAGAATGAGAAATTGTTTATTTTCCTTTTTCAAACTACAAGTCATATTTTATACCAGCTATGATCATATTCTTTGGGATACCTGCCTCATTTAGTTTCCTACGTATATTTGTATCTAGAAATTGAGTTGATTTAGGATTACGTCATTATGTGGCAATGTGATTAGGGTGTGTTTTTCCACACTGAGCTATGAACTTAGTAATAATCTGCTGCGTGTGTGATCCGACAATCAGTTGGCTTTAGTGGTTTGTGCGGGTTTACTTATCCAACTATACACTGTACCCGCTAAATATATCTGAAAGTCAGCTTATTTCATGTGAAGTGTTTATCCTAGCTACTTCTAATCCAATGTTTTTTTCCTTGAAGTTCCATTGACATTGACATAAGTTACTGGCTGACTGCCATTTTTCATTTTGGGTATACACAGTTTTTGGATGATAAATTGAATGTCTCTGTAGAATAGTTGCTAATACCAACTAATGTTTCATTAAAGTCCTGGTAGTCTTATATGCTTTATTTGCTTCATCCAGGCTTGCAGAAGAACTGGGGATCCAAGTAAGTTCATGTTTTGCAAAAGGTGCGATGGTGCTTACCACTGTTATTGTCTGCAACCTCCTCATAAGGTAAAGTCTGAATCACTTGCTACTGTGCTTAATATTGGTTTGATCCATACCATTTCGTTTATGATTATACATTGTGCAGAATGTTAGTACTGGGCCCTATTTGTGCCCAAAACACACAAGGTGTCACAGTTGCGGATCCAATGTCCCGGGAAATGGACTAAGTGTGAGGTATAAATCCTGAATAATTTAGCCTTTTTGCTTTGTTGTATGGTGTTGGTATCCTTAACATTGTTTCCATGATTATTATGAGATAGCCCTTGTATATGGTGTTGATGTGCATGGGGGTAATATGAAAGCTAAGTTAGTTTCATAGTCAAAGCCTATCGTCCTGGTAGAAAGAGGATAATTCTTTTGTTGGATTTCTTTTCAATTATTACCTTCAGTTATTTAAATTGTCATGAAATTTCCTGTTCAGAGTTTTGGAAATGATGAAATATTATGATTGCTGTTTTTTCCCCCAGTTTAACAAGTAACAAGTAGATCTTTATTTTTATTTGATTACTTATATGCACTTTATGGTCCACGTCTTTGTAGATGTGACTGAATTTTCCTCTTTTAATGTTTGACATGTGTAATTTGAATATACTACTTAAATTTATGTTAAGCTTTCTTTTGTTTTCATTTTTACATGGCAATTCGCAGTTAATTCCTACCTTACATTGCAGATGCTGCATATTGTATTTGAGGGATGGACTTACCATTTTCTTTTGTAATAAAAATTTTTATAGGTGGTTTTTGGGATACACCTGCTGTGATGCATGTGGAAGATTGTTTGTGAAAGGGAACTACTGTCCTGTTTGTTTGAAGGTTGGCATCTCTTCCTAATCCTGTTTTCGTAAATGGCTTGTGAAACCGAACCTTCCTGTCATTGGTGCATGTACTTAAAACAATCTTGAAGGGAATTCTTTGATATTTTGGAAGGAACTTATCTGCAGCATTCTTATGTCATTTATGATCTTTTGAACCGTGAACCAAATTGAAAGACATGAAGCATGTGTATGTATGTTGGTTTTTTAAATATTGTCTAGAAGTGTGACGTAGGTTTGTATTAGGTCCCTATCCTTCCGGCCTGTCTCTCAAATATTATACTGTACTTTTATGCATACCATAATATCTTAAGTTAATTTCATTTTGGCTTCTCTTTCTTATTTTTGTCTGTGCCCCCTGAATACTGCAGTTTTAAGTTAAAAAAAAATGTGGGGCAGAAAAGAATTTTGATAGTTCACTGTATGCTGTTGACATTTTTTGTAGGTTTACAGAGATTCAGAGTCAACACCAATGGTTTGTTGTGATACTTGCCAACGCTGGGTACATTGCCAGTGTGATGATATTAGGTTAGTTTGCCTCTGGTATTTGTGATGATGGACTAGTTTTAATCTTTCATTGTATTGTATGGACTGTTTTCATCTTTTATGCCTGGTGGATTAGTATTTGGCTTTTAATCATGCAGCTGTATATGTGTAATGGAAGGTATTGTAAATTTTAATTATTGTGCTGTGTACAAGTTAATTTGAAATTAGTGCTTTAATACAGTAACTTGCACTCTATCTCCTTGTGAGGTGCAGATGGATGTTAAGTTTTTGCATATTAATTTCATTGAATATTTTATTGTTTCTACTTTTTTTTTTTATAATTTCTTTGCTTGAAGCTTGTTGATTGTCTTGACCTAGTCTTTATAAATCATGAGACTGCTTCTTTTGGCCATGACCTTAGTGGACTCTTATTTTGGAATAAATGTTTTGCAGTGATGAAAAATATCTCCAATTTCAAGTTGATGGGAATTTGCAGTATAAATGTCCCACGTGTCGTGGGGAATGTTATCAGGTATGCCGTATGCCTTAAAAATATAGCTACCTTTTGTCCTGTGGAAAAAAAACTCCTGAAATGAGTAAATCTTTATTTTGTTCACTACATCCACTTTATATGTATCTGTATGGTCCAGGTCAAGAATCTTGAGGATGCTGTTCAAGAGCTTTGGAGGAGAAGGAATATTGCTGACAGAGATTTGATTGTTAGCTTGAGGGCTGCAGCTGGTTTACCAACTCAAGAAGAAATATTTTCTATTTCGCCATATTCAGATGATGAGGATAGTGGGCCTTTGAAATTAAAGAGCGAATCTGCACGTTCCTTTAAGTTTTCTCTAAAAAATTTGGGCAATAACTCACCAAAGAAGATGAAAGATTATGGAAAGAAATCTTCAAGCAAAAAGACTGCTAAGAAAAAGGACTCTCAGTCATTTATGACTAGTAAAATTGACACACACCATAGTTTTGAAGGACATAGTGATATTAAATCTTTGCATAGCTTGGATGATGACAAGAATGATGATATACAATCCCAGAGAAATGAAGGTCCAGATGTTTACTCATCACCTGCTACTGGAAGCCTGAGTCAAACTGAAGCATCTTGCCCTATCAATCAGCCAGGGATTTTGAAACACAAGTTTGTTGATGAGGTGATGGTCAGTGATGAAGAGAGGAAACCTAGAGTTGTTCGAATTAAAAGCAACAGGGCACATATTCTGGACAGTGAAGAGGAGAGTGGAAAACACAGTGATAAGACTCAGAATGTGAAAGGGAAGAAATTGGTTATAAATTTGGGGGCACGGAAAATTAATGTGGCTACTTCCCCACGGTCTGACACTTCAAGCTGTCAAAAAGATCAAGATCTGGTGACTGTTAATGGTATACATCTTTATTTCCTTTTTTTTCCCTTGTCACTAAATATTTGCTTGAGAAGTGGTGGTTCTGGGATTTAGTTCTGTGAAGTGGGATATGGCTGATTTTTCTGTCAATATCACTTCCTTCTCTCCATTAAATTGGTGACATGTTTTAAACATCATTAGGGAGAAGACATGCGATTAGGCTGTCAAATAATTACTACTGTGCAATAGCAATTGCAGTAAATGTATTATTTGTATATGGTTTGTGTGCGTATGCATGTGTTCTTGAATGGTTGCTCTCTTCTCCTTTCAATGTCTGACTTTTCCAGTTCAAATTTTCTTCAGGAAATGACGATATAAGCCAATGGAGGAAGGGGGACAAGTTTGCATTTGATAGGCATGATGGCACAGCAAGGCATATTGATGGTAAAGGTAATTTCCTTCCCCCCCCCCTCTCCTTCCCCTGAATCTGTAAAAGTTTGGCTGTTGCTTTCCGTTATATATCCAGCATTAACATTTAAAGATACATCTGACGTTTTTATAAATTTTCTCTGGAAAATTTACCTTGGTTTATGTGATTTTCAGGAAACAAAGTTGATTCCGGCCAATCAAAAATTTTCAAGGTGTCAGGAAGAGAAGGAAATTTGATTAAGCTTGGAAAAGTTAAGCCAGATGTTTCTGAAATTAACCTGACCTCTGGTAGAGGCAATATGTCTGATGGGCAGGGAAAACGTAGTACTGATGGAATGATTGATCAAGTTGGAATAGAGGCCACATCAAGAGGTGAAAGGACGTATTTTAGGAAGCAATCAGCTGGCAGTTCTGATGCACGTGATGAGACAGATGACAATAATAATCGTACCCCTTCACATTCTTTGCCAAAAGATTCTAAACCTTTACTAAGATTTAAATTCAAGAAACCCAGCATTGAAAGTCAAAATTCTCCGCAACAGGAGGAGGAGAAAACAACAATTAAGGGCCAGAGGTCGAAAAGGAAGAGACCTTCACCTTTTAAGGAGAAGGCATCATTTAACGAGTCTGAAGATGTAAGTCAATCACATCAAGACAGTGTAATGGATGAGATCATGGATGCAAATTGGATATTAATGAAATTGGGCAATGATGCCATTGGAAAGAGAGTTGAAGTTCATCAGACATCCGACAATTCTTGGTTAGTGCATTCTATAGCTTTTTGTTAGTTAAGTTAAAGTGATGGGAAAAAATTGAATATTATATAATACCATGCAAGAGAGGATGAATGCCTATTATTCATGTGCTGTGGTAGGTTTTTCTTTACTTCATGTTCTTTTTTAACCATTTTTCGAAGTTGAAAACTTAAGAAATATTTATTGTGAAAATGAACCGTATATATTAGGAATGATTTGATCAATACTTATTTTTTTTGTAAAGCATCGTGTTCCAAAATCATTCTAGACTTTGTAATGGATTACAGTTTATACTTTTTTTTACCTTATCATTTTTGTCCAGGCGCAGGGGAGTGGTTACTGACGTAGTTGAAGGCACTTCAAAGTTGCATGTTACCTTAGATGATGGAAAGGTGAAGATGTTGGAACTCAGGAAACAGGGAGTCCGTTTTGTTCCGCAAAAACAGAAGAGATCAAAGACATGAACTAAAGCTTATCCACCCTTGGTGATCATTTTATGTGGTGACTTTAATTCGTTGACTTTGAAGATTGTTTCATCTTTGAGGCCTCCTCTTACTGAATTTATATTCGTAGCCGCTCACAAGTGCTGCTGATTTTTGGCTGAAGCGTTCTCGATTGGAGCAATTTCAGTTTTCTTGAAAAAATTAACCGTTTATCCTACCTCAGCCCTTTTTCTGGGCTGCAGGTACTTGATCGCAAATTAGATTTTTCTTGCTTTTCGACATGTATGATTTCACAAATTAGATTCTACCTGTGATGTATAGGTCACCATTTCTGTAGAATAGTAAGGGCCCAAGGTTTTAGATGTATGATTAATGCTGCTAGTAGTTTTGTCAATTCCAGGCTTCATGAATTGAGATATTGTCTTGAAAATTGAAATTATTGTCTTTGTTAAAGATTAGTTCACTTCTATCTTCTCTCACCCTCTATACTTGCATTTGCATCGACCAAGCTTTCCTTTCAACACATTAATAGGTGCTTGGCTATCGCGGTCCCAAGGTACCGGAACAAATCACGAACATCCATCAATAAATCGTTAATTAAGCTTAGGTGAAGGTCCCGACCAAAAAAGCCAGCAGCGAAGATGACCCTGCGGCTTTACAATGGTTTTGTTACATCTTGTGTACGTAGGAATGCGGTAATGGTTCTTTATTATTATTATTATTATTATTTTTGTTAGTGTCGAATCTCGTATACTTTTGTGGCATTGGGAAAACGGATTAACTCGTTTTACTTGTCACTCACCTGCAAAAACCATTTTTTGAGTTGACTCATTAAAAATGGGTAAAATTTGTCTATTCACCCTGTTTTTTGAGTGGGTAGACTCAATAAATAATTTTAAAAAATCATGTTACTATTCTATAAAGTCAATAATTCAACCAACGCACAAGAGATTATAAACTAAATTTATAATAGCAAGTTCACAAATTAACCTTATAAATTTGGAGTTCACAAATCAATAATTCTATGTTACATACATGGCTTATTTGCGGGAAGGAAGTGGGAACCAACGAGATTACGGAAACCAAGACACAGCGATAACAGTGAGATGACTGAAGAGCTCGTAAGTTATGTTTGCCATCGGAACGTGCATGTGGGCTTGCGGTTGTTGGAAATTGATCGAGGTTGTTGCAATCATTGTGTGGGGGAAAAGGAGAGAGTGAGTTTGCAATTTGCATGTGAGAAAATAATAGTAATAATAATATATTATTATTATTATTATTATTATTATTATTATTTTGATTCTAATCGGGCTTGCTCATTTTTGAGCGGGTCGGGCTGGTTTGACACTTGGATCTTCATATATTTGACAAACGACTTCACATGGCAGAGAGAGAGAGTGAGAAGCGATGAATGCACCGGATCGTTACGAGCGTTTCGTCGTCCCTGAAGGCACCAAAAAGTATCCTTTCAATTCTTAATCTCTTCTTCTTCCTTCCATTTTTCACTGTCTTCTTCTCATTCTTTTCTCCTTTTTAGGGTCTCTTATGAGAGGGACACCAAAATCATCAATGCCGCCTCCTTCACCATCGAGAGAGAGGACCACACTATCGGCAACATCCTTCGCATGTACCCACTTTCTCTTTTTCCTCTCTTTGTTCTATCTAACTCCATAAACCCTAACTTCTTCTTCTTCTTCTTCTTCTTTTTATGAGTTCAGGCAACTGCACAGAGACCCCAACGTGTTATTCGCCGGTTACAAGCTTCCTCATCCTCTCAAATACAAAATTATAGTCAGGGTTAGCGTCTTTTCCTTATTTCTCCCTTCTTTTTAGTGTTTGATTTATCAAAAATTTTATGCAATCCTTTTCTTTTCAAAACTTCTCCCAGTAAGATTTTGATTGTAAGTTATTTCCACCACGAAATTAGGTAATCCAAACAATCTAATTAGTTTGGGATATTTGTATGGATTTTTTTATAAAGCTTGAATTTAGCTCGACATGAATTCTACTTCCAGTTACAGGTTCTAGTGAGGATAAGAAGACGCTAATCTCCCTAATTCTATTTGTAAGCATGAATCGCATTGTTGTCCTAGGACTAGATAGATAGCTCATAAGTTATTTTACATAACTAAGTAAAATGAATTGGTGGTGGCTTCAAGTCTAAACCCCCATGGATTACCTCCATCTGGTCCTTTTCAATCTTTTGATACGCGTACGCGTATGAGTTTGTGTGCCTTTTTTTCTTTGTCCGGGAACTGATAAGTACATATTTTATTTCCTGTATGTGAATCAAGAGTTCCTAAGCATTATCTGTTCTATTGTTGTTTTTGCAGATTCACACCACCAGTCAATCTTCACCGATGCAGGCATATAACCAGTCTATTAATGATCTTGACAGGGAACTTGATCATTTGAAGAATGCCTTTGAGGTATAATATATCTAAATTTTATTACATCGTTGATACTTGTGTAGAGTCTATCTTAGGAATTCTGTTAAATATTAAGTAGAGTATCTATTACCAGGCCACGTTTGTTTCATGGGTCTCATTTCAATTCGCATTCCTAACCAAGAGAGTAGTTGTAGGTTTCTGAAATTTGACCTGTAGTTGTATTTGACACTTTGTTGTTTTCAATGCTTATATGTACCTGTGGAGAAACTGGATATTGATTGGGGTTTGGCATTTATAACTCACGTTATATATTTGAAGTGTGCTTTGTCTTTTGGATTTGTCTGCTCTTCTATGGCACTCACCGTACTTTTCATAAAGGCATTTAAAAATATGTATATCTCCAAATAAGGTCAACATCTATGTGGGCACTTGGGAGTCAAATTTTCCTTCTGAAAGATTTTGCGTAATTTGTGAATGCAATCTCTTGAGTATCAAATAATTACTGATGACTCCCTAGCCTTTGCATTGTTTCTTTTGAAACCTGTACTAAATAATTGTCTCTTGGTGGCTTTTATGGGGTGAAAACTACTAATAGCATGCATTGTTGCATCATGCTAATCTGTGGAAAATTGAGAAGAATTATTTGAAGCTCAAGCACTTAAGTATTCTTATTTACTTTTAGTCTCAGGTTAACATTAGTAACAAATTCAAGATTTCTATTTCAGGCAGAGATGTTGAAGTTTTCAAGGGACTATTGACTTACTGGGAGGATGGATGTTGTGTGCGTTACAAGTCTGGGCAGATGTTGAGATAGTAAATCACTTCTGCTAAATGAAATTTAAATAGTATGTTTTGAGTATTTTAGGAGACTTCTTAAAGATGAATGTGTTGGACTGAGGAATTATATCAGTCTTGAAGAATTAAAAAATTAAACAAAAATGCATAAATAGGAGAACCTGCATTATATTATGCTGATTATGTTAGCAAACTACGTCATTTGGATTATTTTCTTAAATCATTTAGTGTGTCGGCTCCAGCTGTTTAGATGCCAGTTTTAATGAATTTTAACAGAATTCAAATGAATATACGTACTTTAACTCAGCATGATAAAAGCGTCATGTTCTGGTGGATACGTTTTCTCTTGTTGTAGTATATTGTTTATCAAAGTTTTTAGAATATAAGGCAATTGATTGTTATAGGAAAATTCCAGTAATCAACCAGTGTAGGGAGACATGTTACTGTGGGGCTCACATGGCGATTTTGTTTGTTTTATTTTTTCCTTTTGGCTTCTCTGCTGAAATTTGTAGAAGCTGTTTTTCTTCAAGTGGCGTACAAGGATGGAAGGTAGCCACGCACTTTGGTTGTACTCTTTATTGATTACGACATTTTGATTTAACACTATCAAATTTTACATTTATCTTTACAATTTTCACAAAGTGGTTCTAGCAATTTTCTGTTTCCTTGCTACAATTAGTGTCTACCTTTACACTACCTATGTATCTACAGCTACAGGACAGTAAACTCATCATCCAGCCCTTCTAGTTCTCCCTTAAATTTGTATTGTTGGATTATTAACACAGAAATTGTTGTTGAGAAGTCTGGTCCTGAAAGAACATCCCCTATTGGTCCCAGTTCTGGGCATTGTTGCCAGTCATTCATCCCCTTTGTCAGTATTGAGTTTATTCCACCTTCTCTTCCTACAACGACCAGTGAATATTGTCCTTCTAATGATCTGAGAGTAAAGAAGGTCGCAGCTGCATTTTCAAGATGCTTCTCCATGTAGGAAACACGACCTCCAACTATATGCTTTTCATAGAACTGTGCAAAGCATTCATCATCCAGCGCCATCTCCTCCTCCTGCTCAGGAAGGGTCACCCTGTATGCTGCTAGTCTTGAGGATTCTGCACTAGTATCAACCAGCAATCTTATTACTGTCACTTTTACCCCTGGATGCCGAGCTACACGCCCCACATAGGCTAGTGCTTCTCTATCATCTTTTCCACCGATGAATATTGCTGCCACATTGATTGATACCTCAGATCTTGATATCTTCTCAATGGACCCAAAACCTCTGTTCACTAGAATCCCCACGGAACAGCGAGCACTCTTCAATAACTGTTATAACAAAATTTCTATTATTATTGTGGAAGGTACAAGCTCATTGGGCTATTAAAGTAGTTCTCAGTAATTAAATTTTCTTTTGTATACCCCCAAACCAATAAAACAACAAAGCATTTTGAAAGACAATTAAAATTAAACGTACTGCGGATAGTTGTACATTTTTTTTGTCTGAACTTACCTTTCGGTTTACATATCTGAAGCCTTGATTGCCACTATCCCATTTACCATCCTCACGCTGGTTCATGTGGAATGGTAGTATGATGAGGGCAATCATCAAGTCCTCTGCTAAAAGGCAAATGTTCTGTGGCATGCTATTGATAGTTGACACTGCCAATGTTCTTTTGAGCGTAATACCATCACCATGTTCATCATTATCTACGGAGGCTTGAAACGAGCTGGTTACTTGGTCTCTCATCTCCATCACTGCCGCGTCTTTCACAGTTGTTGTACTCACTTTTTCACCCTTCTCTACTGTGGCTGCTATTTCTTCAGTTAGTTCAATCATTTCTGCCACATATACCAGAATGCCTGGGTTTGGTGGCCCTCTTGAGATTTCCATTAAGTTGATGGAAGCAGGAACATTCTGGGGTCCGTGAAGGCACAAGAGCATCCTTAGCTCAGTTGATGGGTCTAGCAATTGAAGGGCCATTTGGTGAATAGGTGCCTTTTTCCGGGCACATTTGATGATTTGTGCCACAACTGCAGGGACATGCACCACTGTGAAAAATATTGCAATTACCAATGCAATGCCTGAGGAAGTAGTGGTGCCACAACCTATCTGGTCATAGAATGACATGCCATGAGATTGATTCAATAGTAAACATGATTTCTGTTATTCTTGTTATATCATAACACTTAAATTATGCAAGTGATTCTTTAGTATCAAACCTATCCTAGATTCTCAGGATAAGACACACACATAGGTAAGAGTCAGACAACTAGCTGGGTTGAGATACTTGCCACTTTGACAGCCATGTAGATATGAAAATGGCCCTTGGTGGTGAGAAGCAATCCGATTGCAATTGATTCTGGCCATTGAAAGCCAAACACTGCCCCAGAAACAAGTGTTCCAGCAACTTTACCTACCATAACTATCAATACTGGAAGAAACAATCTCATCCATGTTATAGAGCTTCCAGGGCGGAACCTGGCAAAATCAGCTGCATACCCCATCCACAAGAAGAAGATGGGAAAGAAGAGGGTGGTCAAGAGATAGTTGATTTTGTTGATAACCCATTTGGAAACTCTGCCCTCCCGGGGAAAACATATCCCTGTCATAAACGCACTTAGAATTGGACTATAGTTGAATACAGTTGAGAAGACACAAATGATGACCATGAAGGCAATTGACAGTACCAGGTGTGATCCTTTCATGGGTTTCCCTTCAGGGTTTTCATTGTTAACCCAGCTCATAAAAACTGGTGAAACCGCTGCTGTGAACAATGCCTGCCCAGCAACTGCAGCGCTCATTTTGATCATATCTATAGCAGTCTTCTGATGCCCAAAACGCGGGCAATATGTATCTATTGGAATGAAAATGTAGCCAACTGAAAGAAGCAATGAGCAGATGCAGTCTGAATGCATCCCTGCTGCTATTACAAGCTTCCCTATATCAGACTTTCCAACTTTGAGGTTTGTCAATACACGGGTCACAACAGGAGATGCTGTACTAGAGAGAAGAGTAGATATGGAGATGGTGAATTCTACTCCCTGATTATGTGTCACTGTGATGTAATGGAGAAATGGTGTTATAAAACAGGCTAGGATGAACGTGCACACTATTCCTGCATAAGCAACTTGAGCATCCCTTGTTGGTCTTTTGAATAGTACATAAGGATCCATTTCTATGCCCAAAGCAAACATGTAACACATCATGCCAAAATCAATTATAAACCCAAAGGTTTTGTCGAATTGATCATATAAATTTCGAAAAAAAGGTATGTTGCCCATAAATAGTCCTACCTGCATAACATAAACATGGATAACAGCTATTATCAGAAACTTCATTTTCAGTTTTCTCATTTCTGCATGTTGTTGTTCATCACGATAGGGAACCTTACAATTATGTCAGAAGTAATGCGAGGTTGTGAATAAGGCTTTAGTAGGTAATGTACACCGTTGCATGCAATCACCATGGCCAGAAACATGGTGAAATTTTTGCCTAACTGAACCATGAGGGAGCCTAGTCTTTCGGCACATTGGTTTGCAGCCATTGCCGCGTCAAAAACTACTTGAGGTTTGATTATATGTTATATCTTGCTTTTCTTTTTCTCTAGCTTACCATTACCATCTACTCTCTCATTGCCATGCACACAATTTTTCCTTCTCATTTTTGTTTTTCTGATCATCATCATTTCTCTCCAATTTTTGCCCAAAGCCTTTGGGTGGAGCGAGTGGTCGTCATTCATAGCTTATTTTCAGGAGACAATGGAGGAACACTCTCACGAGTATAAGACATTTCTGAATTGGATGATTTGGACACTACATCAGGGTGTTAATATACCGGAAAACATGGATGAATCACAAATGTTTTAATAAATCTCCAGCACTAATTATATATATATATATATATATATATATATATATATATATATATGTATGTATGTATTATCTGAAAATAATATGGTATTTGTAAACAATGTACAACTACAATAAATTTTTAAATTAAATTTTGTATCTTAAAATTTCATCTAATAATTAATAAAAATATAATAAATATGACATTTTATTAATTGATTTATACAAGTAAGTAAAGAAAAAAAATATAAAAAATATAATAAAAATCTTAACTTTGAAGTTAAAAAATGGATATTGAGAGTAAAAATTCTTCTAAGCCAAGAAATTAACTAGATGTCTCATTTTTTCATTTTCAAACGGTCTTTTTGTATGTAATTTCATTTTTGTAACAATATTTGAGAACATATATAATAGTTGTAATCTTGCTGTTAAATGAAAATAGCATAAGACCTTTTGGAATAATTTTTTTTTTTTTTTATCTTTGTATCGAAGATTATCATGAGTTGGACAAAATGTAGATTTTGAATAATCCGATAAAGTATGCAATCATGAGGGCAAACATATATTTTTGTGTAATCAAGCCTAGTTCATGAGCTTCAAAATAAGAATAAGAAACTTTATTACCTTGTGGAAATACTTTTGTCAATAAAAAAAGTAAATCGTCAATTCATTTTGGACTGATATCTATCATATACTTGATGTTTAATGGTTGAACTATGAATAATAACTTAGAAAAAATATCGTATAAAAGTTACTAGCTTCTTTATTCATTTCACTGATATTTGGATTGATCATATAATTTGTTTCCTTACTTTCTATGATACTTTTAATGTTGATGAAACTTTTGAGATCATGTAACATATCATGAATTCTTTTGTTACAATCTTGTTTATCATCGTTGTCATCATATTCATTAGTCACTTCTCCGTAATACTTCTAAAGAGGTTAGTCTCTTTTTATCCTAACTATGGTCAAGTGCTCATATCTGATTTATAATGAAGATTATTATACATTTTTTACATGGATAACTAAGTAACTTTTCTTCTTCAAAACCACTAAATATGAATTCAAATAATTTATAGATTCTTATTATATAAAAGATTTGTTACTATCAGTACTTTATATCCAACTTTTATCTAATCCAAAATATATATATATATATATATATATAATAAAATAAGAAGTAATCACTTGTTAGAATTAAATTTATTATATTAAAAAATAAATAATTATAACTAATAGATACTCTTACCAATTTAGAATAACTTCAAAGAATTACAATATTAATTAATTAATTATTTAAAGATGAATTAAATTTAAAATTTTAAAACAATATTTAAAATAACAAATTTTTTATATTAATAATTTTTTATATCAAATTAAAATAAAATAAAAAGATCTGCCGTAATTAAGGATCAGATGCAATAATTTAAACCATATAAAAATTTAAAATTATTTAATATAACAAACTCTTTCAAAATTACTGAACGGGTGAAAATGAAACGCTGTACCCAATCAGTGGAATAGCAATGGTTATCAATGATAATTACATCTAAATTCAGCATGTATAATCAACTTATTCACAATGGATAAAAGTTTAAAATGTGTATTACCATTCCAAACGTTTAGTCATATTTCTTATTTAAGGTTTTATAATAATAATAGTAATAATTTAATCACCTAATAAATTATAAATTTTTTTGTTCGTTAAATAGTTTGAAGTTGAGTATATAAAAATATTGAAGATATTAATACAGGTATAGGTATTAATTATACTAATTAACCAACCTTATACCAGTATATAAAATACACGCATAAAAATATACATAAGTTCTATTTTTATAATTAAGATTAAAAATAATCTTTTAATTAAGTGTGGCATTTTTATTGATACATTTATTTCATTAATTATAATTAATTTTAGAATTAAAATATTTTTTTACTACTACTTAATGTTATGAAATTTAGACCAATTATCTAATTAACCGACATATCAAATCAGATAAATTATTCAACTACTAAAAGACTCATTCAACCAATATATTTAAATTTCATCAAATTTACTTTTCGTTATTTTCTCGGGTTCATATAACGGATGCTTTTACTCCCATTCTTTCCATTCTATCTTAACATGGAATTCTAACTTTCGGTAGCTATTTAAATACAAGCTTTCGTGCAGCTCATTCAAGACTTACTCAAAGTATTCCTCAACAGAAAATTAAAACTTTGGTTTCGGCTCATCAGGGTAGAGTACTGTTTAACCTATCCACCATTGAAGGAGCGCCGCCATACACATTGTCATCGTTGACAATTCTTTTTAGGGATCTTTGAATTTAGAAGAACGAAAAAAAAAAAAAAGTGAAGTCATCGTCATTGTCATTGTAAGTGATAATTAAGAGAAATAACGCTTCAAGAGCAAAGCTGATCCAGGGATGCAATTCTTCTGGATAACGATCCAGACCACGAGAAATTTTAGTGCAATTGGTTTCTCTTCCTCGACCAAAAGGACTGGAAGTTTTGATTGGAATATTGGTTTTCTTGATTATGAGATTCGATGTATCTAATTTGCACTCTTCTATAAATGTAAAAGAGAAATTGAAGAGTTGAAGAATTCAATGGTGGAATGAAGGCCTAGGGGAGGGGGTAAATTTAGTGGGTATCTTAAAAAAGTTCTCAACAATTTCACGTCTTACTTTTTTACGAATTTTCCACATATCACCGGTGTCTCGGCCTTGTGGCGGGTGTTTCAACGGTAGGGAAGGTGGTTGATGTTTTCATACCTCAAAAGAATGACAAACTAGGATGTCGTTTTGATTTTGTGCGTTTTGAGGATGTGGTGGATGCCAAGAGTTTGGAGGCTAAGCTTAGATCCATTGTCATTGGCAGAATGCGGTGTCCATCAACTTGATGAGGCATGAAAGGGAGAAAACAGTGGGTTCAAAGCTGTCTGCGGAGGGAAGTGGAACAACACGCTCCTGTGTCACAGGGACTACAAAAACGTTAAGGAATACATATGCGAACAAGCTTAAAGCACCCCATCCAGTTGGGACACACCAAGGACAAAAGTGGGTGGAAAAGAAGAAACCTTGGGCTCACCTTGAGTTTAAGGTGGATGATGGGTGAATTGAGGAGTGTAAAAGTGCTATGGTCAGACGTCTTCATAGAAAACAGGATTTGAAAAGTATGCGAGGAGCTCTCCTGCGGGCAGGTATATTAGATATTAATCTCACGACCATGGGTGATGACATGGTGTTGGTGGAATCTGATGCGAGAGTAGATTAAGAGGATATAGTATCGCTCAACAAATTGTGGTGGGAGAAATGGTTTTATGATTTATGGGAGTGGCACCCAAGTATGGTAGCTGCGCAGAGGGTAATTTGGGTACGTTGTTATGGGGTCCCTTTGCATGCTTGGGGCGAGGTATTCTTTTGTAGGTTGGTTTCTTCACTTGGTGATTTTATCAAGATAGACCAAGTCACGACAGAAAGGCGATGATTGGATTATGGGAGGATACAATTAGGTACTACCATTGCTGAGCTTATCAAGCAAAATATTATAGTAAAAGTCAATGATCATTTTTACTTAATAGTTATGCTTGAAGAGCATGCTTGTAATGTTGGAGCCACAATAGAAGAAGGTGTGGCTAACTCTTCTGAGGATGGCAATGAGTCTTTTGAGGTTAGTTCAATGGAGTTGGAAGCGTTTGATAACTATTTTAGTGAGGAGGAAAGTGTGCTGCAAGGTGATATCGGAGGTAAGGATGGTGTTTAGGAGTGAAGTGTCAGTATCAGCAAAAGGGTGTTTGGTGGATGAGGGTCTGGGGGCTAGTGGTGTGGATGCCATAAATCCGACGGTGGTTATCTGTAATGCTGTGCATGAGCCTTCTAAAAATGTGGAGAGGGGAGTCCCAATAGCAAGAGATGGATTGAATTTTTCAGATCCGTTTGGATTAGACGCATTGATTTGGAAAAATCTAGAATCAAGGGGTAAGGAGACAATTGGGACAAGTCGACCCCTTTCAATCCAAATCTTGTATTAGGAAAGAAAGGGTCAATGTGCGTGAATCCCTTCGAAAGGCACGCTCTGTGAAAGGTAGACGAGGTGATGAAGGAGGGAAGAGACAGAAAAGCATAGTTTCCAAAGAACCCTTTCAAAAAAAACCTTAGGGATCATAGTAGAGAAGTGTCAATACTGTCGCAACTTATAAGACAGGGATCGTTAGCTGATGAAATTTCGACTACTGCTTTTGAGGGCTCCTACAACTCACATCCTTCCGATCCTTCAGTGGAGGTGGGGGAGCGAATGGCTGCTACATATTGTGATGATGAGGTCGTGGTGTCGAGGTTACTAGACATTGGCAAGAAGGTTGGTATGGTTGTACATGAGAACGATGAGCAGGTTCGAGAGAAATTGTTTGAGATGGAGGTACGCGACAGAACGACTGTGAAAGAACATGGGGTTTGCTTTGATTCTAAATAAAGATTGGCTCATTTAATTGTCGAGGGCTAGGGAGCGAGGCGAAGCGAAAGAAGGTGTGTGAGATTGTTCACTCTGAAGGTCTGGAGTTTTTGGCGATTCAGGAAACAAAACTTGAGACATGTAATTGTAACTTATGTGCGCGTCTGTGGGATTCGATAGATTTTGATTGGATTGCCTTGCCCTCCGTTGGTAGAAGCGAGGGTATGCTTTCACTTTG